ATTCATTTGAGACACATAGATAGAGTGAGAGAGAGAGCATGAGCAGGGAGAGAGGCAGAGGGAGAGGGAGAAGCAGGCTCCCTGCTGAGCCAGGAGCCCGATGTGGGGCTTGATCCCAGGACCCTGGGATCATGACCTGAGCCGAAGGCAGACGCTTAACCATCTGAGCCACCCAGGCGCCCCTGGTTCTTTCCAGTAGAAGTAGAATCTCCTATGACAGGAGTTGGGAGTAGGTTGGCCTGGGAATGTGACAATATGGAGCAGCCTGGGTCTGTTTTTTGGGATTTTTTGTTTTGTTTTGTTATAATTTTTATTTTAAGTAGGCCTCATGCCCAACACGGGGCTTGAACTCACAACCCTGAGATCAAGAGTTGCACGCTCCACCAACTGAGCCAGCCAGGTGCCCCTGCCTGGTCTGTTTTGATGTGGGAAGTTTGAACCTTCAGTTAGTCAGACACACCATTTCATCCCTTGGGAACTTTTATGACCCTCCCTGCTCTGCAGATGACGGTGTGAGCATCCCTGGGGAGTACACCTCCTTTCTGGCTCCCATCTCCTCCTCCAAGCTGTACAATGAGGTCCGAGCCTGTCGGGAAAAGGACCGAGACCCTGAGGTAAAAAGCCACCCTCTTCTGGAGAGCTCTATTCTCTTTAGTCCTCTTTTTTTTTTTTTCTATATTAGCATCAACTGTTTTCTTCTACTTGAGAAGATGAAGAGGTGAAGGAGATGGGAATGTGGGAAAGTGGTTGAATTGAAAATGTTTTTATCCTTTTCTGTGTCCTGGAGGCTCAGGCTTCCTTCCCTGGGAGAGTGGATATGTCTTGCCTATCTGCTCCAGCTCTTGCTTGGTCTCTTGGGACAGGCCCAGTTTGAGATGCCTTACGTGGTGCGGCTACACAACTTCCACCAGCTATCTGCGCCCCAGCCCTGTTTCACCTTCAGCCATCCCAATAGAGGTGGGTTCCTGTGTGGCTGTCCTCTGATTGGATGGGTGAGAGCTTACCTTCTGGATTCTTTTGCTCTCCTGGGTAGGGTAGGGTAGCTGTCTCTAGGCTTCCCTTCTTAGTTCTTGCTCTTGCTTTCCCAAGTTTTCTGGAGCTTCTGGTCCCTTATCATCCACACATCTCTTCCCTAACAGATCCTCTGATTGACAACAACCGCTACTGTACCTTGGAGTTTCCTGTGGAGGTGAACACAGTGCTACATGGCTTTGCAGGCTACTTTGAGACTGTGCTTTATCAGGACATCACCCTGAGTGAGTGTCTGGGGCAGTGGATGGCAGGGTTAGGGTATATTATCTGGGCAGCTTATGTACATGTTTCACTTAGAGTCACAGGGAGCCCAGGAATCAGTGAATGTGGGTCTTTGATTACTTATTCCTCTTCACAGAAGACACTCCCCTCAGCCCAGGCAAAAAGTAGAGTCACAGAGACCTCAATTTTTCATTATTTTTTTTCACACAGGTATCCGTCCAGAGACTCACTCTCCTGGGATGTTCTCATGGTTTCCCATCCTCTTCCCCATTAAGGTAGGAATCACCTTTAACACTCAGTGGGTTAAGGAGTGACTTTTGCCATTGGTGTTCTGCCCCTTCCCTCCTGTCAGGATGATGTCTGACTGTGACCCACGTTCTAGTGCTCCCACATGCTCTTGGAGCCCTGTTGTAGGTGTTGAGATGTCTTCAGTGCCCTTCTACTTGGCTTCCCCACAGCTCCTGTCTACTCTTCTGTCCAGTCTCTACCTTAGCTAGAGGCATCTTTTTAAAACCCAAATCTGATCATATTTCTGTCCTGCTTAAAATCCTTCAACGACTTTGGGCTGCCTGGGTGGTGCAGTCAATTAAGTGTCTGACTCTCGCTCTCGGCTCAGGTTGTGATTTCAGGATCCTGTGGGCTCCGCGTTAAGCATGGAGTCTGCCTGGGATTCTCTCTCTCTCTCTCCCTGCCCCTCCCACTTTTGCACACGCGCTCTCTTTCTCTCAAATAAATACATCTTCAAAAGCAAAACAAAACAAAAAAACAACCCTTCAATGACCTCCTACTGCCCTCAGGATAAAGATTTAACATTGTAAGACTTGGTGTGATCTAGTTTTAGTGTGTCTTTTCAGCTACTGTCCCCTTGATTACATTGCCATCAGCCCTATGGATCTTCTTTTTTTTTAAATTGAAATATAATTAACAGTGTTGTATTAGTTTCAGGTGTAGAACATAATGATTCAACAAATCTGTACATTACTCAGTGCTCATCATGATTCTAATACCTTGTCTTCTTTCCTGCTTCAGGCTTTCACACCTTTCTCCTTTGTCTGGAAAGTTCTTTGTTCATCTCTTCACCCAGTTAACTTATCTTCCAGGTCCCCTTAAACATTCCTCTTGTCCGATAACTTTCCCTGACCACCGGGACTAGGTGTGCACTTCCTCTCATAGGTGCTCTTGTAGTGCATGTTCTCTGCATGTTCACGGCACTCCTCACACTTTCAGTTATCTGTTCAATGTCTGATGGTTCAGTTCTGATTATTCATTCTAAAAGACTTCAGATTGGGGCGCCTGGGTGGCTCAGTCGTTAAGCGTCTGCCTTTGGCTCAGGTCATGATCCCAGGGTTCTGGGATCGAGCCCCGCATCGGGCTCCCTGCTCAGTGGGGAGCCTGCTTCTCCCTCTCCCACTCCCGCTGCTTCTGTTCCCTCTCTTGCTGTGTCTCTCTCTGTCAAATAAATAAAATCTTTAAAAAATAAAAACAAAAAAGAATAAAAAAACACTTCAAATAAACTTCATGAGGGTTGGAACATCACGTTTTATCCTCTTCTCTCCACGCTTAGCTCAGTAGTACAATGCCACATACAGTTCATCAGCTCTACCCTGAACCTCCCTGTCTTTCTTCTTGCAGCAGCCCATTACGGTACGTGAAGGCCAGACCATCTGTGTGCGTTTCTGGCGATGCAGCAATTCCAAGAAGGTGTGGTATGAGTGGGCTGTGACAGCACCAGTCTGTTCTGCTATTCACAACCCCACAGGCCGCTCATACACCATCGGCCTCTAGCCCTGCCCGCAAGTGTTCAGAGCCTTGGAAGCAGCTTCAAGTTCTGCTCCTGTGGCATAGAAAGTGCAGTACAGCTGTGGGCTGTGATTCCCCTTGCCCATCGGAGTGGAGCATTTCAGTCTGCTTTCCTGCCTTACATCAAGGTGGGCAAAGGATGAGAATTAATTGCAGGGCTCAAGCCACCAATCTGTGAAGACTTCAGGCCAGGGTGGGAGGAATTAGTGCTGGATCTGAAGCTACTCCAACAGGCACTCGGCCTCAAGCGCTCCCTGGAATAGCCCCGAGAACATGTGGATTGAACACATTTTCAGCCCTTTCCCTGCCCATCTCTGTTCCTGTTATGATGGTTTTGTGTGGGAGGAAATACAAATAAAGTGAAGTTACAGCCTTTTCCTGCTCCAGCCCTGCTGCCCCGCGCCTCTGCTTTCTCACACCTTACTTAAACCTAGGCGTATTCAATCTATGCCTTTATCCAAGACCCAAAGGGTCCTCACTTTGTTTCCTATTTAGGAAGCTTAATGGTCACTCTTGGACTCCTGGGTCTAGGTTTTCCCGACCAACTGCAAAAAGGTCTTGTCCATTAAGACCTGTGATTAGTCTTTTCTCTGGGGAGGAAAGATTGCCCCGATGGAGAAAGATGGGAGTAGTGAGTGGGGAAGCCAGCTTCCCTTCCACTTTCCTGACAGCTACCTCTTGGGAGGGAAACTGGAAGCCCTGCAGGCATCTCCAGCAAGAAGCCACCTGTTTTGTTTGAATAAAGTCACATGGTTAGGTTTTGAAGTCAGGAGTCCCAATTCTCCATTTTACAGAGGAGGAATTTGAAACTGACACAAAGTTATAATGTCAGTATTCAAATCAAGACTGGAACACAGATCCTCAGACTCTGTGGCTCTCCGGATGTTCTAACCAGCTATGTTTCTGGCAGCTAATACATTGGGCAATTAAAGTATGGGGATTCTGGAAGCCCTTGGAACGTGAGAGTGGACATCGGTTCCTGCTCTTTCTGGTTAGAGGGCTGAGTATTGCTGCACCCAAGGAGTCACCTGAGAAACCTCCAACTTTATTTTTACAATGGGAGGTGTGTGCCTGTGGGACCAGGCAATGACCATAAGCCAGACTGTGAAAGAAGACAAACGTGTGGCAAGACTTGTGTTTCCCGGGGCCCAAGCACTGAGGGCAGGAGGAGATAGTTGGAAGGGTTGTCAGCCCCCTCAGAATGGGATGTCCGGTCCAGCATCCTTCTGACGTGAAACACTTGCAGTTGCCCTCCCCGAGGCTGTCGCGGCTAAGCAGGACACGTGACCCTCTTAGGACATATAGAGAGTGGCAAAGAAGTCAATTGTACTTCCTCGTTGGCTCCGCCCGCGGCGCTGGCCTAGTCACCTGGAGCGGGGAGTGGGGCAGGAGAGTCCTCTCTGGTTCTTTGCCCGCGTTCACCGCCTTCCGCATGTCACCTAACCAATGAGAGGGCGATGGGCGGCCGCCTTAAGACGCTTCCACTCTCGGAGAGGTTAGCCAATCCATGGGAACTTGATGGTTGCTAAGAAACATTTGAGTTTGGCTCCACCCATGCTTAGGGTTTTGGCCAATGAAAATCTGTACTTTGGACTGTTGCCGCGAAACCAGTGATTAGTTCCACAGCCTGAATGTTTCGGCGCCTGCGCAGATTGGGGAAAGTTCTGGAAGACAGTGGAGCTGTCGCCATTTTGCGGGAAGACTTGCAGCTCCGGCTGCGGTGCTGCTTTTACTGCTGAGACTCTGGAAAATATCCGTGCTTCGCGTCCCCAATACACCCAAAGGAACGGCGGAAACCGGGACCCCCCCTGCGGGGACCCGGAACTGGTGAGAAACCCCGAAACCCGGTCCCCCCGCGACGTCACCTATGCGTGACGTTGCCGCACGGCGCCGCCCCGTGACGTCACAGGCAGAAAATGGCGTCAAGAGCAGAATCAGGCAAACTTAAGAAAGTATTTTTGTTTTCTTTGGTCTGGAAGTGTTCGCTCCCTCAGTGTAGCCCGCTGGCATGACTTTAGGGCTCGGCATCCTCGTGGCCGTATCTCTTAAAGATGAAGATGCTGTCTCAAGGATTCCAGTGACCGATCTCTTAACAGGTCCCTGCAGACCTGACGTTTAGGGTCGCCCGTACTGGGGCGGGGATGGGGGGAGCATCGACCCACCGCGGTTTGAGAGGGCTCGCAGGATGGGTTTTCAGCTCTTAGTACCACTCCTCCGAGAGAGGTTAGGGAACTGAGACACTGAGACTTACTTCTCAGTCTTCAGGCTCTGGAAGACTCCTGTTCATTGTGTTGGCCTCTGGGCTTTTCCCTGGTTCCTTCTTTTGACCACACGTTCCGTGGTGGTACAGGAGTATAGTGAGGCCACAGATGGGTGTTAGCATTGGGACACTGGCCCTTGCAGGGACGGTGCGAATTGGTTACTTAGAGGACCATTTTTTAAAGTGTAGCCTTGGCTTGTTACACAGCAGGAATGTATTTTACCTTTCTCATTGTTCCTGTTATTTATTTTTTCCTCGTTGTTCCTATTCTTAATAAGCTGCCTTCAGTTTGGAGGTGTTTGTACCCAGCTCTGTGACTGGACCCATCACTCCCTGGGACTCAGCATGTGGTGAATTTTGCCTGAACTGAGCTGACAGTGGTTCTTCACTCTCCTTTGTCCCTTCAGCAGTGAGGCCTAAGTGTTTGTTGGGGTCTTGACTATGCTATGACAAAGTCCAGACCCTTGCGTGGTTGTGGGCCCACCCCTAATGCAGTTTTTGGAGCAGGGATGGAAGAAGGCTCTGTAGTTTTTTAGTGCATGGGATTGATGGACTTTGACCCTTGATTTAGAACATGGGAAGAGTTTGAAAACTGCCAACTTGAAAATGCATAGGGTTTGGGACTTTACTGCTTCTAGGACATCTGAAAAGATACACCAAACCGAGTGAGATTTCAGGTTTCAAAATGTGCTCATGTTCTGTATGTCTGTGCTTAAATAGATTCGTTCATTTCTGAGTATCTGAGTGAAAACTTTACTCCATAGGTGGTGGCTCATTTGTCAACTTGAGTGAAAGTTTTTGTGCATGTATTAAGTTAATCCTATCCTGTACTCTAGCAGTCAACAAAGAGCAATTATTGAAATCAGAAGCATTTCATTCGGGGAGGAAAAAGCAGATTTTAAAAAATAAAGAGGAGTTGTATGACATTTAGAAAACTTGTATAGACTTGGCACTTGGCTGGCTCAGTTGGAGAGCATAGGACTCTTGACCTTGGGGTTGTGAGTTCTAGCAATATGTTGGATGTAGAGATTACTTAAATAAATAAATACTTTTAGAGAAAAAAAGAAGAACTTGCATAGACTTGGCAGGCAGAATGACTGGAAAGAACAGAAATTGTAGATTGAAACCTTTTATTTTTAAAAATCATTTTTCCACAGTCAAATATTATAATAAGCTTGGTCCTGATATTTTGAAGTATATGCTGCTTCATATCTAGAAGCCACATAATAAGGTGTGACTAACGGGACTAATGCTTTTGATAAACTTTTCAGAATAGTAATTCCTTAGATGACTGTGTATTTAAAGTAGACATCTTGGGCGCCTGGGTGGCTCAGTTGGTTAAGCGACTGCCTTCGGCTCAGGTCATGATCCTGGAGTCACAGGATCGAGTCCCGCATCAGGCTCCCTGCT